TACCAAGAATTAACATGGAGAACATTACTATATACAGTAATGAGCATGATGTTTTCCATAGATAGAACAAAGCAAAGTATTTCTGTGAATAGTAGAAAACTATTTCACATATTCTTCTTGGGGAGAAAGATGAATTTACTCCAATGGCAGGATTTACTCAGTGAGAAGACCCCTACTTTCCTTATGTGTTTATCATTTATTGATTGACTTCATCAGAGCTATTTGAATGGCATATTGTGCCTGAAAATAAGACAGCTCATTTTGTGATCCAAATAATTTTGTAGTCAATTTTTCACATTTGTTGGGCAATCTTTACCTTAAAAGGCTGTAGATCTGGCAGTTCCAGTATTTTACCCACCAATAATTTCCTCTGACTGGATCCTTTTGATAATAAGGCTTGCAAAGAATGAGCCACAGCATAGACACCATTATAGATACTATAACTATGACCAGTCATTTGCATTTCAAAGAGAGATCCAGGAAGACTGTCCAGGTTCTCCTCCCCAGTGCATTTTCCATTGTCCATTGTTGACAATCCTGAATGAGGAAAGAAACAGTCAAATGCTTGCTCCCAAAATTCCTTTATGAATCCATCTCTTTGTCTCCAAAAAGGTTTTATGGACTTCAGAAATTCTTTGAATGGTAGAACTTCACCTGAATGAATCTGAAAAGAAATGGCCCCATTGAACAACTGGAGATTCCAAGCCTTTAGAGATCCTGCTAGTATGAAGTCAGTTTGACTTGTTGTGATCCATACCTTTGTAAAGGATACATTAAAATTATCTTCAGGATCAGTTAGAAATACGGGACATATAAGCCATAGAAGCGTATAAGATTCTCCATAGAGGATAAATGTATTTGCTCTAATGTCTGTGAAATGTACATAAAACCTTTTTATTATATTGCTAAATTTATTCAGGTCATCCAAAGGAAGCAGCAGTGGGATTCTTTGTATGAAGGCTGGACAGATTCCATGCTGGGAAAACATCTCCTGTAGTTTCTGCAAAAAGTGTTCTCCATTCTCGTTATCAACAGCAAAGAGCCCAACCCACTTCCATCCAAAATGTTGAAGCAATTGGATAATCCCAATGTATTGAGGTGTATCATTTGGGGCCATGAAATAAAATGAAGACAACCTACTGATACGAAATTCTTTGGGGGGAAATGATCCATAAGTGAGCTAAAAGAAAACAGAAAAAACAGGATTTGGGTAGTGTGTTTTGTTTTGTTTTGTCTGTTCATCCTCATGGAATAGTTTAAAAACTGGTCAGATGAATTATCATTTATATAAGGACTCCTATACAAGGTTGCTCAAATTTCAGGGGCTTTCATTATTTTTCTAATTGGAAACATGATTGATGCCAGCAGGTTGAAATCCATCTTCACCAGTGTAAGCTAATTTTAATGTTCAGTCACTTCTTAAATCTTGCGTGAGATTTCCTTACAACCATGTTGTTGTGCGGATAAAGGCATGAGAATCAATACTTAAGGATGCTCTTGGGGTTTAATTATTTAAGGAGAATAGGAGAAATCCCCCTACCCCTGGACCAACCTGAGGAATTTTGTATAAATCTACAGTTTCTGCCATATGGGATGAAGTATCTGATCCAAGTCCTCCAATAATGGCCATGAGATTTTTCCGGGTTCCACATTTATAGTTGGGGAGGAATCTCTGTGATTTGAAGAGCAGGTCCAGGGTGGTCCGATAAGTCATCCTTGCATCATAGTAGCTGTCGTAGATATGGAACCCGAGAGTAATATTGGGCAAGATTTGTGGATCCTCATTGATTTCGTCCACAGCAAAGGCCAAGGAAAGGATATGCTGGTAGAATTTTGTGACCACGCTGCAAATAAAGAAAGCCGTTCAGGACAGAATTCTGCAGTGAATGAATTCGTTGAACATCAAGAATGGCCATCTGTGCCCGTGATTAGAGTCGGGAGATGAAATTCTTTTTATATTGCTCCAATGTATGATGATATAGGATTATGTTATGCATTTCATTGTTTCATGGAAGTCATTCATTAAAAGAAAATACACTAATCCGTATTTTTAGGTTTTATATTAATCATCAGTGGGAAATATTGTGCCCTGTTTCATATAGAGGAAACTAAACTTATTCCACTTCTTTCTTTTACTCTTTGCCTCTTTTCCTTTACTCTGCTTTTAACCATTTATGTTCTTCCATCTCCTCCTCCTTCTTAGAAAATTTATTAATTGGGAAGAACATTTCACATTGCAGACAAGGTTTTCTGGAATACTCAAATTTCTTAAATATTTTTCCCTGAAATTTCTTTGGTTCTGAATGAATCCTTTACTTCAAATGAATTCTGATTGAAAGTAGATGTTTGTGCTATTTCTCACACATTTACTGTCTCTTTTACACACGCACACACACACATATAGACAGTGATTGCCTAATTAGGTTTTCACTATTCCATTCTTATTTTATTCTTATTTTTCATATATCAGGGACATAATTTTGAAAGTTTTCTCTTTAATCATATAAATCCTCACCTATCATTCAGCATGACATCATTCATATATATGTGCATATACACCCCCCCCCCCACGAAATGTTCTCACTTGATAGAGGTGGACATCCATCAAGTAACTGTTCATTGAAAACACCCAACAACCAGCAGATAATGGCTGATATCAAGCATTAGCTCCATTCATCTCAACGTTCTCTGCCATGGAGCCCACCTTGTGGAATCTTCTCCCCCTTAATCAGCTCTTAACATTCCACAAGTCCCTCAAGACCTGGCTATGTGATCAGACCTGGGGCTCCCAGGGGACCGGGGAGATTTTGTGATGGCTCCCTTATTAATTTTATCCCCT